TGATGCACGACAGTGAAGTCATTATAAGTGAAACACCAATACATAACTGCAGAGGAAAGGGTGGATTTGGGCTTACAGAGCTGGAGGCATGGGAAAGGCATTCAGCTGTCAGCAGTCTGGAAGTTCAGAAGTTGTGATAAATTAGTGCTCGCTTTGCAAGTGTTTGAATTAGTAATTCAAAAAAAGTAAACCACTTTCCCTTCCCTGGTGGACCCCACAGCTTGCCAAAGGATCCACTACATCTTATCAGCTTTTTTTTTTATTGTTAGTTTCAGGTGTACAGAACAATGCAATAGTTATCCTTTTCACCCTTCAGACAGAAGCAACCCCCCTCCCCTATTTACTGCCCTCCCATCCCCATATCATCCTTATCTATTACAATTCCATTGACTCCATTCCCACACTCTACTCCACATCCCATGACTATATGTATATATAATTATAGTTGACATACAATGTTAACATCAGCTTCAGAAATACAGTACGGTGATCAGGCCTCTACACCGACTATGAAGTGGTCTCCCTAACAAGACATGAGTCCATCCTTATCAGCTATTTTGGACCACCAGATCCAGGTGAACGAGAGAAGCATTTATTCAGTACCTGCAATGTGCTAGGCACTCTGCTTGGCACTGGGGATACCAGTGTCAAGGCCAAAATCAGCTTCCCAGCCTTCCCAGACTCACAGTCTATTGGGAGAAAAGGATTCAAAGACTGTGAAGTACCCTAAGAGTTCCTCTGGGCATTTGTGGGGCTGGTAGAGCAAGCTGAGAGCATGACCCTTGTTTCCAGTTGCACTTTTGATGCTTCCGTGAAAATCTAACCCAGTTGTGGACAATTGAACCTGACGGTAGGGATGAAACAGCAGTAGTTGTCTGGCTGGCTCTGATCATGATTCTTTTTGCTTCCTTCCTGGGGGAGGAGTCAGATGGCACAGCAAATGGTAGTTAAAGAAGACTGAGCATCCTATCTTTTCTCTGTGAAGCTTTTTCTTTGCTTAAGTCTAGCGTCTGTGGTCCCATTTTTCAAAGGCTATGCACAGTAAGTCTTGTGCAGAGTTGAGATCTATTAAATTAACCTGTTTCTTAACAAGGCACAGGTATTAATCTTACAGCTACAAGTACTTAACCCTTTTTTGAAAACCTTGTTTGCTGGTGCAGTGTCACTGGTGATCATGAATATTAGAGATTATTTCTTCCATTATAGCTTGGCAGTAAATAAATATGTTTATGAAGTTGGTAAGTCTGATTTAGAGGGGGTAATCCTTACTTCTGGGTGGGCCTTGAAGGCAAGATTAATGGGCCTTTAAAACAGAATAGCTTGGAGTTACTGATATCATTATCTGCTGAAGGTTGCTATAGCAATGAGTGGTTTCATTGCACTGTGCAGTTGGTGGTACAGTGGGTGAGTGTAAAAGGATCCTAGTAATTTAGCAGAAACTCTCCTGGAGCAATTTAATTAAACTCCATTAGAATGAGTGCCAAATTCTCTTAAAGCTCTAAAATGTAGTTCTGCATAGACCTAGATTAATTAGAGATACATTATTATCCTGAATTTGCACACTGTCAACAAATACCTTTAGTGATTTTAGGATAAAGATTTTATAATTTCGTAAGCCATTTTTTAAATGATGAGGTACAAATTTTATGAAGACTTGTCTATTTTAATATAGATGGTTTGAAAATGAAACATTACATTTGACTATAAGGAAAAATGTAGGCTGGCTATGCACAAAGATGAGCTTTTTGAGAGGGGCAGGAAACTGGAGTCTGAATGTATTACCAGGGCTGGACGAACACATTCTTTGTTATTGAAAGCTGGATTACCAGATGATATAGCTTTCTTCATTAGCAATCTTGAGTAAAATGTGTACTATTCTTCTGAATCACTACGGTAGGTACAGAATTCTTTAGAAATGTACAATCATCAAAATTTAAGAGCACGTGGTCTGAAATGCCTTTAAAGGACTATCCTGTAACGGACAAAGTAAATATGTGTGTGACTCTTGATGTCTGTGCAGACGTGTCTGTTGAAACTTTGGCTCTGGTTACCCTTCCCTTCTTTTTTAACACTTTGGGGATATCTTCCCCACTTACCCAATTTTTAAGGTTCGGGTATACATGTTTCAAAAGAAAACCCCTACTATGTTCCTGTAATGTAGTAAACAACATAGTAGATGCTTCACATGAACTTTCTGCATCTGTGCAGTGTGATGAAAAGCTTTATCTGAATTAACTTGGTGTTTTGGACTTTGGCGTTTGAACAACAGGACTTTGAAGGGTGAAGTTGGCGCATTTTGGTATTCATATTGCTAACCATGTTGCCCTGCAGACGTTACTCTGCTGCCACCTGGAGGACTTAGGTGGGATGTGCATTTAAAGGTAGGCAGGGACGCTCCAGGAACAAAAGCAGCCAGGCTGGGTGTCATCTACTGCCTTGTCCTTATTCCCTGTTGCGGTCAGTTGACATTAAGCCTATTACCTTTTCATTTTCCACCGTAGAGCTAATATGCTCTATGAATTCAAGAGTAGTACACTTGTAGAGTGTAAATATGTTATTACTTGTTCGATATAAGGCAAATTGAAAGTTATTTTTTTATTAGTTTTAGGTGTACAAAACAATGTAATAGTTAGACATTTATACTCCTCACAAAGTGATAACTCCCTTCCCCAATCTACTACCCCTCTGACATCATAGATAGCTGTTACAATTCCACTGACTCTATTCCCTGTGCTGTACTCCATATCCCGTGACTATATATATATATATATATATATATATATATATATATATATATATAAAATTATAGTTGACATTCAATATTATTCAGCTTCAGGTGTACAGCGCTGTGGTCAGGCACTACACTGACTATGAAGTGGTCTCCCTAATAAGATAAGTGCCCCTCTGACACCCTACAAAGTATTTACTACATTATTGATTCTATTCCCCAAACTGTCTTTCATATCCCGGTGTCAATATTGTGGCTACCAATTTGTGCTTTCTAATCCCCTCACTTTCTCTCTCATCCCCACCCCACTCCCATCTGGCAACCATCAGTATTTTTTTTCTCTATATCTCTGAGACCATGTCTGTTTACGTTGCTCGTTCATTCAGTTTTTTTAGATTCCACATATAAGTGAGATCATATGGTATTTGTCTTTCTCCAACTGACTTGTTTCACTTAGCATAATAGTCTCTAAGTCCATCCATATTGTCCCAAATGGTACAATTTCATTCTTCTTTATAGCAGAATAATACTCCTTTGTATAAATGTACCACAGCTTCTTAATCCAGTCATTTACCAATGGGCATTTTGGTTGTATCCATGTCTTGGCTATTGTGAATAGTGCTACAGTAAACATAGGGGTGCATATATTTTTTCAAATTAGCATCTTGGGTTTCTCTGGATAGGTACCTAAGAGTGGAAATTGCTGTGTCATACAGTAGTTCCATTTCCAGTTTTTTGAGATACTTCCATACTGATTTCCATAATAGCTGCACCAGTCTGCAGTCCCACCAACAGTGCACCAGGGTGCCCTTTTCTCCACAACCTCGCCAGCACTTGTTGTTTGTTGATTTATTGATGATGGCCATTCTGACCTGAGCGAGGTGGTATCTCATTGTGGTTTTTATTTGCATTTCTCTAATGATTAGTGAGGTTGAGCATTTTTTCATATGTCTGTTGGCCACCTGTATGGTCCTCTTTAGAAAAATGTCTTTTCATGTCCTCTGCCCATGTTTTAATTGGGTTGTTGTTTTTTTTGGTGTGGAGTTGAATGGGTTTTGTTTTTTTAAATAAATGTTGGATATTAAGCCCTTATCAGATGTATCATTGTTATTGTTATGTAGATTTTAAAAAACGTATCATGCCAGTGAGAAAGTTGACTTCTCTACTCCATTCTTGCCTTAAGGTATAAACCAATGCCTTATACTTTTTCTAATCCAAAACACAGATGAAAACTCCTGGCATTGTTGCCAGGCACTGAGAATAAATCCACTCGGAGGTTTGAGGCTTCAGGCGACTTAACAGGAGTGGCAGAGTGGAGTAGGGAATGTCTAGCTGATGAACCTGCTGAGAAAACCAGTGGGGTTTCCCCAGAACGGACATCAAGCAGGGCCCTGGAGGCAGGGGAGCGGAGGGGTCCGGATCGGGGCCTTGGGGCCACAATGTTGTATATTGATACACGTTCAGGGCAAAGATTCTTAGCCGTCTGCCCTTAGGAGTGTCTAACACTTTTATTTTTCCTGGGCCCAGACCTGCTTTTGGTGGTTATTTCAGCAGCAGGGGCCGTTGTTTACTGGCAACTGAGTGTTTGGGAAGAGAACCAATCAGCCAAGGCATAGAGAAAAATACCTCTTAAGTGAACCTTCCTGTTCATCCCAGAACATCCTGACCACTGATATTTCCAGGAAAGCCTTTATTCAGAAGGAGGGCACCCAGCATGCCTGAGGCTTATCCGTACTCAGCCTGCCGCCGTCTGAGGTTGGAGCCTAAGAGCTGCGCTGGCATTCTCGACTTCGACCAATGCCCACGGAAAAGGCCAGACCTCCTCTAGAATGAACTGCACTTTTTTGAAATGTATGAAATCTATGGTATTTGAAAAAATAGACATGTGGGATTTCCTCAGGTGGATACAAGTCGTGTCCTTAGAATATGCTATTTTGAAGAGCCTCCCTTCTGAATCAAGGGCATTTATTTACTTAATGATGGTTTTTCTCCTTTTTTCAGGATTTCCTGTGAGAGCTCCTGGTCTTGTTTATATCTTGGTCCACACACATAATACCGGAGCTTGGGCAGTCAGGTTATGAGACACTCTGCTCTTCCTGAGAGCTGAATTTTTAAGAAGCTTAATCTGAAATCCTAGTTTCACGCAGATGGCCCTTAGGCAGCTCGTTTATATTTGTCATCTAGTTGCTTTTTTTCTTCCTTTTTTTTTTTTGTTTTTTTTTTAACGAAAGCTCCTATCAGCAGATCCTGATGAGAATTATTCCTCTTGCAGAGATTAAGAATTTGGTATCCAGCAGATCATCACCAGAACAGGAGGATGTAAAGGTAATGATTCCCTGCCCCGCTTTGTTTTCTGCACTTCTCTCCAGAGTTGAAGTAGAAGTGAAGACCCAGTGGTCATATATATATATTTTTTTTTAACCAGTAAAATCCAGAGATGTGCCCTAAGTCCCATTCAGAATAACCTGAAATTCCATTTTCTTTATTGAATTTTTCATCTCTACTCTTTATGACCAAACCTAGCTATCTTTTTGGGTTGGAGTTGTATATGCAAGACAACTTACGTAATACATTTTCCAAAACAAATTTGTACTTGAAGAGTGATAGTCACAGGTGTTTGTGAAGAACGCAATTGCTAGCATAAACCTGGGAGAGTTTCTCTGAGAATAACGCATGGATCGCTTTCAGGCAGGTTGCAGCTTGGGACAAATCCTTTCTTTTTAGCTCTTAACTAATATTAATTAAGGACAAGAGTAGTTTTCTGTTTATCCGTGGTGATACATGTAACATGTCTTTACTGATGTTCTTCGATGTGGTTTTTCTGGTTAAAAAATAAGGGAACGTTATGTGCCACATAGTCATTTTTCAAAACCCACCTGACTATATCTTTTCCAGGGTGTGAAGAGCCTGGTGGTTCCACTGAATGAACATGAAGACCAGGTCAGCCTAGATTCAGGTATGTTCCAAACTACTGATTTCCCTTGCACTCACAGGGGTATCACAGGCCCAAGTAAGTATACAGAGGACAAGAAGAAAGTATATTTTAAAATAAAATCTTTCTTCCTGGGGGCATTGTCTATTTCTTGAAACCTACCCAGATAAATTTCCTTTGCAGCATCAGTTATAATTCTATGATTTCAGGGGTTGAGTCTCCATTTACTATGTAAAGAACAAAACAAAACAGAACAATGAAAGCTTTTCCTGAGCAGTTTTACTCTGAGCCAGCTCTGGCTTGGAACTTGTCATGTGTTGCTACCTTGTTACCACTATGAAGTCGGCACTACCAGCTTCGGTTTTAGGGGAAATGACACTCCACTCCTGGAGACCCGGAGAGCAAGTGCAGGAATCGAGACCCAACTTCCTTCCACCTGGCCCTGGAATCCATATGCTTACCACCCAGTGGGGGCCCCTTGAAGCGGGGCCTCTGGAAAAGACTAGATGCTTGTCCTAGGGTGTGGGTGTGATGGGAGTGTCCTTTTAAAGGAACCAGGAGCTCCCTTGGCAAGGTGAAGGTAGTTCCTCCCATGGGCCTGGAAATTCTCATCTGCTCACATGGACATACAGAGGTGGGGCTATCAGCAGATGCCTCATCTAAACACCTGGATGGTCTGTGCACGCCTCTGGGGCCGGTAAGTGGAAAGCAGATAAGCATGAACTTTCCTAGTTGGTTTCTTGAGGTCTCTTACATACCTGAAAAGCACAAGGGTGAGGCAGTCTTAGGAGCTGCAGGTGGTGAGGTGATGGTGGTGGCATTAGTGGTGGTGGAGTGCTCAGGCTAATGTGAAATCAGGGAAAACCAAGACAATGCCCAGGATGAGATAATAACTGCAGAGCCTAGTGGTCGGGGCTCACCGAGGGCAGTGGGGAATTGTTGGCACATTTGGCAGGCACACGACAGAGCAGTTACAACAGTTGGGAAACCATGACGCATGAAGCAGGGTGAGGGGGAGCACCCTCACATCCGTTGTCTGTACTGCTGGTAGCTTGGCCACAGGCCAGAAGTGGTTTGTTGGGCCTCCTTGCCTGAGGTATTGCGGAAATTGGAACAGACCATGCCCAGCAACATGCACACCTTTACTACTTCTACATAAGGTGAGAGGAATACTGAACTCCTGGAAGGGGAAGGAGGAAGGAGATAGGAAGAGGAGGGGTAACCATCTCCATGTAGATGACTGTTGTGGGCCACTGAAGCCAGGAGCACAGCTGTTAACCCTGCATACAGGATGTCTCCTTTACAAATTGCATCATGCTCCCAGGAATGTCAGCTTTGAAGAGTGTTGACCAAGACAGATTGCTGGTGGGGGAGATGTGTTGGCTGTTCAAAGTATGAACTAGCGGAATTATTTTAATTTTAGGCTTTACAAACTCACTCCATTCTCAAACTGGTGTCCTAGCTGGGTAAAGAGGACACGTGTTAAGGAAACTGTAGTAGCCTGACCTAATCTGAGCATTGTGTCAGTAGCATCAGTGTGTCCGAGGAGTATGGTAATGAAGAATTAGAGAAAGATAGATGTGTGTGATGTTAATCCAGTGGTTTATGAAAGGGCCGTGAATGATTCTTCCTTGTGCTAACATTTGCTTTTTTGTTTACTTAAACTTGTTGGGTTAAAGAAAGTCACCTGACTTTAGGGAAAGAAAATGATCATAAATTTTAAAAGAACCTTCTGAGACAGAGAAGGCGGCAGTAAGCAGTGAGCAGTAGTCAGGTGATAAGCTGGAGCCTAGAACTGGAAATGGCTTTTCCCCAAGGCCACTTCCAAACTGTTTTGTTATTTTATATGTGCTTATATCCTGCTCAGTCGCTCAGGAAAGGCTGATACATGTGGGGTCAAGGTATATGTCTTTGCTGAATTTGTATTATGCAAAATGCTGTGATGTGAGTTTAGTGTGATCTCATAAACTACATCAGAGCTGTTTCAGTAGAACTTTCTGTGATGCTGGACATGTTCTATGTCTGCACCATTCAATATGGTACCCTTTATGTTTATAGAATATATGATGTGTGACTAGTATAACTGAGGAACTGATTCTTAAATTTTATTTATTGCATAGAAGTTCCCTTTTTTTTTTTAATTGGGGACTTGGGGAAGGGGAACAGACAAGTTGCTGTCCTTTTGTTCTTCAGTCTAGTTGT